GGAGATTTATGAATTAAGAAATAACATAAAACGATAATCTACCTAAAAATATAAAGGACAAAAAGATAAACGAGCTAGGGTATCGGGAATAATCGCTTCCGGTTCTACACACATTTAACGGCAATCAATAACTCGGTTAAAAGGCTCGACTAATTAACTCATTTAGCGGTTTAGCCTCACTGACTCTCATAATATGAGGATAAATATAAAAGAGAAAATTAACAAGACAATTAACACATAGACAATACGTCTCTGAACATGTCTACTCTAAACGAGCCAAATTCCACCAATTTCTCCCCTCTCGGTTTTGAAATCGATTATCTCTACGACTCCTCCCCTTTCGGTTCTAAAAGTCGCAATTCGTAGAATTAACAAACTCTAACTCAACAAATAAATATTCAATCACAAATCAAAGTGTCACTCTTTGATTATATCAACAAATTAACCTAAGTGTCACTCTTAGGTTATAACAATTTATCGAGTATAATTTTATCAATTCATAAAACAACTCGTCAAGATTGAGCTATCGTCATGCACATAAACGAAAACGAACTGGAATGATTATCCCTTAACCCTAGCTAGAGGATTAGCTACTCATAATTGATTCAACACAACAAAATATTTCTCCTAAATTAACCATTATGCATGAATTACTTCAAAGATAAATTAAACTTACATATCAATCTCCAAGTGTTGATTTCAAATACAAGCTTCATCCAAAAGACAAAATAAAGAAAATATAAGAAAAAAAAAAGAGAGGAAGAAATGGAGAAGGAGGGGAGGGGGAGAACCCCCTTGAAGAAATGATGAAAGGTTCTCCTTGTGGTGATGATGATCCTCTTTTTTGTAGTGGAATGGAAGAGAAGAAGTAGTAGTGCTCTCCCCAACACCAAAGATGAATTTAAGATGGAAATTCTGGTCCAAAGTTCTCCACTTTCGAGCATCCTCAAGACAAGCCATATTTTGTGGGAAAAGAAGAACATGTTGTCTGCCAACAGGAGCTAGCGCCGCTAGGGAGGTGCTAGCGGCGCTAAGGGGGGGGCTAGCGGTGTTAGCCCTTACCTAGCGGCGCTGCAACAATTTACGCGGCTGCGACATGCTCCGTGGCCGCGACTTTCACGCGCAGAAAAACTGTTGCTTCTCGCGGTACTTCTCGCGACTCGCGGCTTTACTCGCGACTGCATGCTCGTCTTCACATTTTAGGCTCGTTCGAGCTCTTCCGAACTCGGAATTCGATTCTGTTTTTTCCTACATGTAGCCAACGAAGCCTCTACGCATTTGTGTTCTTAAATCCAACTTCTTCTTCAAAACTTATTCACCCAAAGCTTTTGACTCCAAGTTGACGGCTTCCATGCACGAATTCGCATATTGGGCCCGTTCGGACTCGTCCGAACTCCAAATTGGATTCCGCTTTTTTCTATGTGTAGCTAAGAAATCCATCTTTCAAACCATGATTTCCCGACCCATTTTTGAGCTAAATCGATTCCTCACGGGGCTTCCAACCTGCACACTAAAAACAAGAAGAAAAACGTAGAAAAACGACAAAATACACGAAAAACACATAAAAGCCAAAATAGAACAAAACACATAATAAACTATAAAATGAACTAAAACTAACAAAAAGACCTAAAACGAGGGAAAAGGAACAACAAAATAGTACAGAAAAACGTAACAAAAATGGTCACAACAATTGCAATTATACAAGCATCTAATATATTACAATTGAGGACATGGGTTAAATGTGTAATTAACAGAAAATATTATTACTATTTTAATATATGTACTTATTGTTATTAATATATAAAAAATAATAATAGTATTGTTTATATACTTTTGTTGATTCGGTGATTTGTCTCTTAAATCAAAGCCGACGTAATATAACTGCGTTTATAAGAATAAATTCAAATAATTGAACCGAAATACAAAATTTCAATAAAAAATTTTAGTCTGGTAGATATTGTGCAATCTAATAGTCACCAATGTTTATTTTTTATAACCATAATGTGCACTGGCAATACATAGAACAAATAGAAATAATAAATAATAATATTTTTCAAATAATTTGGTCGAGTCGGTTATTTCATTTATTTTTAAAAAAATAAGGCCGACATAAAAAAGAAAAAAACGTGATTTTATAAGTTATGACAGATAATCAAAACGAATACAAAATTTTGAACGAAAATTTTAGTTTGTTCGAGTTCGGTAGATATTTGTGCAATCTTATAGTCATTAATGTGCAATTCATAATACTGTGCACTTGCAGTGCATGTGATCTTTTTAATGACTTGTCGAAAACAACTTAAATCGTAACTGAAATAATAATTTTATTAGTTTGATTAACCAAATTAATATAAATAAAAGGAATTATAAGTTACATTATAAAAAATATATTTAGTATTTTAATATTTTTATTTAATATTTTTTATTATTTTTTGGTTGAAAAGTTATAATATTATTTTTTATATAGTTCGGTCGATCGATTATTAAAAAAAGCCAAAATCGAATCGAAATAACCAATTTTTTAAAAGTAAAGAATGAACACTGAACCGACATATATAAACCGTGTAAAAAACTATATTTCATTCATTTCGATCGGTACATACGCTAAAGTGCAATATCACAGACACAAATGTGCAACCTGACAGTCATTAATGTGCACGTTTTTCGGCTGCTGTTATGCAGTGTGAAAGAATGAACTTTCTTCCCAACCAAATTGAAACCGAACATTAACGTGCATTTTAATTTTAAAAAAAATTAATAATGTGCATTTTAATTCAAATTACTGTGTACTTATCAAATTATTTGTATAATAAAAATATATTTAGTATTTATAATTTTTGTATTTAATTTTTTTTATTAATTTAACTAACATTATCGTGCATTTGTTATGCTAAGGTGCAATCTCACTCACACAAAAGTGCAACCCGTCAACCAATAATGTGCAATATTTCCAATAATATTTTAATATCTTATCAATTTATTTAATATTTTGTTTATTATTTTATGTATTTAAAAGATAGATAAAAATAGTATATTTTTTTATACTTTTTAGAAATACAGATTTGACCCTTGGGTTAAATTGAAATATGAATAAAATTATTAAATTTTCAACTATGTCCCTAAATATGATCTAATTCTCAAAATAAACCCCCAAATCTCACTTCCATAGATTGTGAGTTTTCAGCCGCAACCTGTATCACCACCATCACTCCCGTCGGTGAGGGCACGAGCTTCTGACGGAGGCGGACCATCCGGCGAGGGAACCGTTCGAAGCTTTCCACTCAGGTCACCAGCTGAATGTGTTCGGCGACTGCAGTGAAGTCGGCGGGAGTCGTCTCAGTCACATCCTCCAACATCTTCGCCCTACATCTCCCTTGCGACTCCGTCGTCTCAGTCGCTTCCTCCAACATCTTCGCGACGTATGGGCTTTAGTTAGCGTCTCCATGGTCGGCTTTGTCCTCAACAACCTCATCACCGGTCTCGATACCGGCGATGATACGGGGGCCGAGGGAGACAGTTAGCGACAGAGTCAACCGGCGAGGCGATGTGGTTGTCTTCTCAGGTGGGTGTTCACTACAACAAACTCCGTGTCTGCAGTTTCGCGGTCGCCAGAAACCGTCAAGGGAGAGCGGCGATCAGCGACGCTGTGGGTAAGAGCCGGGATGGAGGTTTGCTGGAGCCGACGTGGAGGTCGGGCGGTTCCATTGTATTTATGTGTATGTTTGCATGTCGTGTGTGTGTATGCGTGATACTATGTGTGTTGTGCATGTGTGATATTGTGTGTGTATATGTGTGTGACATGTGGTGTGTGTGTGTGGTGTATGTGTGTTGAGTGTGTAAAGGTGGTGACGTGGCGTCTGGTAGTGTGTGTGTATGAGAGAGAGAGAGAGAGAGAGAGAGAGATGAGTTGTGTTAGGTGAGTTACCGAGTTATTGTGTGTGGTGGCATGGGTCCGATCTAATTAATGGTTACGATGCATTTTTATTTCTTTCACTGAACAACTTTCTCACTTTAACCTCACCCTATATATATATGTATGTGTGTGTGTGTTTTATATGTATTTATATATTTGTCAGTGTGGTTTTGTTAGGATACCAAGGTTATAATAATATTATATTCATATAAATTTTCATTACTTTAAATTTTTTTATGTTTATCCTTCCGTGTAATATGTAATATAATCAATCTTAATTTAAGTTTACAAATAATCATAAATTCTTGAGGACAATACAAGATAAATATATATATATATATATATATATATATATATATATATATATATAATGTTTCACTAGGTAGCACATATAAAATGCATGAATCATATGATCAATGAGTAATCTAAGTTGGGGTATCACATCCTAGCTAAAACAATTCAATTTTTTGGTCAAAATAGTTTAATACAATATACACACCGCTAATAACTAACAACTGATTATCAGACTATGTCTATAAATATATGACTGAATGAGTATTAGATTTTTATGAAGAAATATGTAATAATGCGTAATATTGATTGAGTTTTAATTTAGAAAAGAAAAATGTGAGTGGAATAAAATATTGAAAAGATGAATTGAATGATATGTTTTTTATTAATGTAAAATGGGTCAAATGAATTGAATGTATATCTAAATGTGCATGGAAGTCAACATAAATCCACTTACCGCAGGTGCATGCAATGCAAACGGAGCAGGACTAAGATAGCCGCAAATTCAACATTAGTTCATCATTACAGACAAAATTTGCATTAAAATTAATAATCCCGCACTATGTTGTTGAGTGGTTAGCATAATTACCATTTTCCCACATGATACATGCCATCGCTCAATGTCACAAAACAATCTTCCAAGTTCCACTACATATGCTAATTATTACTTGTCAAAGTCTATTTNTTGAAAAATATCATTTTGGTTTTTAGCTGTCGATAAAATTCCCACTACATCTCTTTTTACCTATGGCCTATCCAACTCTAGTAATAAAGAATTTCCACTGATATTGAAGAGTCAGAAGTTCCACCATTTCAGGTTAGTCAAGGTGTTCTCCTGCTCATGGGCGGAGCCCCTCATTAGTATGAGTCTAGACTCGCACTTAAAAAGAAAAAAAAAGAAAAAGAAAAACAAAACAAAACACATAGTATATGTATATTACATTTACTATTACTAGTCTACTAGCTCATAATATGAGTCCAACAAGCTACTAACCTTATCTAATAAGAAATGAATATAATATTAAACAAACCAAAAAGAGTACAAAGTTTACAGAGTTATAGAGACACCTCAGGCACGGACACACGTAGGAACAGAAAATAAAAAGAGGGAAAGAGGGGAAACAAGGAAAAGAGAGAGAGGAATGGCCTATCAATTTTCCGTCCAACTGATGAGAAGTCGACTTGTAAGATGTAAAAGTTGATCTTCTTTATTTTGATGGATGTAAAAATTATTTTTTTTTATTTTTTTTAGGTATTCGTAAATGTTTTCTTTTTATGTAGAAATTGCAAATTCAAACAATTTTTAGGTGTTTGTTGCTCTTTAAAGTGTGAGATGTCAAAATAAATAATTTTATTGATTGTAAATTTATAATATTATTGTTGTATATCAAATATAGAGAGAGATTATCCAAGGTTGTCAAAACCGGACCGGACCAGCCGGTTCGACCGAGAACTGGCTAGTACACCGGTCCGGTTTGAGACATGGAACTGCTGGGCCCAAAATCGGTAAAAAACCGCCAAAACCGTTGAACCGGTAACGGTTCACGCGGCCCAGCGGTCCAATTGTGTTCTTGTCTTGAGGTGGTTGTAAAATCATATAAGTAGCTGAGATTTTATTTTTGTCTATCCGATGTGGGATGCACATAGCAAATAAAACAATGTATGTCCCAATTTATTGGGCCGCGGGCCTGCTTGCAGTTAGAAAAAAAAAGGACAATTATTAATGTTTGCTTTGGGCCCAGATTAATGTTTCTTTGAGCCAATTAAGAAAAAGAAACTTATCGTTAAATTTAAGAAAAAGACAGTTAGGAAAAAAAAAAAGACATTAAACCTCCTAAAAGGAGTTGCACCATTATTTTATTTGGGCTTTACTTATTTTCAAATGGTCAAATTTGGTTGGACATTATATAGTATTCTTACAAATGTGGTCATTACATAAACATGTAAACAAATTTTTTCCTTTTATTTATTTAGACAAATGTTATTATAGGCTATAAAATTAATGATAAAAATATATACAATTATATATTATATATATAATAAATAAAAATTAATATTAATTCAATCGGTTCGACCACTAGTCCGATCAGTGAACCATTGAACTGGTAGCTTCACCGGTTCGATGACTGGTCCGGTTTTGACAACCTTGATATTATCTATTTGTGAAAATATCTGAAAAGGAATACATTGATTTCAGATAGATTTGAGAGAAAATCTAGTATCACTATGCATAAAGAAAATACGACAGGAAGTTTAATGATTATCGAGGAGTTCTATTGTTCTCAACTTCCCTTTGATCCCAGATTGAGAATTTCAATCTCAAGATACAGTTTAATGATTAAAGAGCAAGGTTCGAAGAGCATATTTGCTTAAAATTCTTTGTCAACCATTTGATCATCATTTTCCCATGACGAAAGTCTCAGTGTCATCAACAAATGCAAGAATATTTATAGCTGGTTGGTTTACTGAACACGAGTGGTTAGAGAATAACATTTCTAGATATGTTGCATATTATCTCTATTTCTATCTTTTAAACCAAATAGACGGAAATAATCAGGAAGGGAAACCTTTGTTACAGAGTGACTTAGATCTTGGAAAGAAAAGTCGAGACTTCATGTTTATTAGAATATTCACGTGTGAGTTGTCCCACATTGTTTATATAGGGAAAATAGGCCTAATTTATAAGTCTAATGGGCTACACCTCCTTCCACGAATTGGTTTGGGCAAAAATTCTATGGAGCCATCGGATGGTTTTCTTATGGAACCATCAATCACTTAATGACACATGTTCAAAGTGTATTTATTGCAGGACACGTGTCAATACACCATTTGTCAATGACTATGGATGGCTCCATAAGCGAGCCATCCGATGGCTCCATAGCAAAACTGTTGGTTTGGGATGAAACCCCACTTGGGTTTCATTTGGGCTTTCCCTGTCATTGTGCGCTTTCTGTGCGTGGGACCGCACCGTTTTTCCCCCCATTTCTTACATGGTATTAGAGCCGGTTCTATGTGGGACCGTGCGATGACGTACCCGTTTCCCAACCTGTTTCTAGTAGGGCTTGGGACCCAGCTCCGTATATGAGCTTGTGTTTCTTATGAAGGACTCATAAGTGAGGAGGCGTATTAGAATATTCACTTGTGAGTTGTCCCATATTGTTTATATAGGGAAAATATGCCTAATTTATAAGTCTAATAGGCTACTCCTCCTTCCACTAATTTGTTTTGGGATGGAACCCCACTTGGGTTTCATCTAGGCTTTCTCTGCTTATGGTGCGCTTCACCCGCATGGGACTGCACTCGTTTTGCCTCTGTTTCTTACAATGTTCATGACGGGAAACATGACAATGAACACAATCAAGCGTGTATGAATTGTGATGCACTGATGCATCAGAATGTGCACATTACAACAGCATTAAAAAACGTCTAAACAACCGAGAGATGATTATCACATTCGGCTCACTGCATCTCTTGATTGTGCGTGACATTTGTTGCGGTTGGGGCTACCATTTCGAGGTCATGATGAATTAAAAGATTTTCTTAATCTAGGTAATTTTTTTGTCACACTGGAATTTTTAAGAGCTCATAAATATGGTATTTTTTCAGTTACAATGGAAAACGCTCCTCAAAATTGCAATTTAACAACTCCTTGTATTTTGAAAGATTAATCTTATGCTTTCTCCACATAAACTATTAATCCGATATTAAAAGATGTCGAGGAATATTTTTTCTCTATTTTGGTTGATGAATCGTGTCACATACCGACTGAAGAACAAATGTGTATCGTTTTGAGATACGTAGATTCTTGTGGACATGTAAATGAACATTTTATTGGAGTTGAACATGTCACAAGTACTACGACAATTTCTCTTAAAGATATCATTGACAAGATGTTGTCGAGACATGATTTGTGCATATATAGATTGCGAGGGAAAAGTTACAATGGAGTTGGTAAATTCAAGGGAGACTTAATGGTTTAAAATTAATCATTTTAAATGAGAATACAAGTGCACATTATGTACATTTTTTTCTCATCAACTCCAACTAGCCCTTGTAGTTGTGGGTACAAAGAATCTTCCATTTGTTGATTTTTTTTTTTTTTCTTTTTTTGATTGTTGCTCAATTGATAAATATTGTGTAGCGCCCCATTTCTTTTAATAAAAGCATAGCTCGATTAATTCATTTAAGTTTGAGCAATGTTATCAATTTTGAAAATTTAATCATAAGCTATAAAAATTAAAAATAATCTTTCTCATGAGTAATCTAATAAATAATTTATGCTAATTAAAGAAATTAAATCACTTAAATTAACATAGCTTAATTAAGATAATTGAATCACTAAAGCCAATTAACTAAAAATAAATTTAAGTAGATGTCCTCATCTATAAATTCCTAATTTTTTTTTATCTAATCAACGTATGTTACTAATAATTATCTAAGTAAGAAAGGAAAGAAGGGGAGGAGACTTACAAAAATATTTTCTAGGTGTGCAAGACACTTGAACTCGGCAAACACCCTACCAATGCCAAGTCAAAACCGCCAGGCCTAACACTCACAACTACCCAACAACTCCACCAATCTCGGCGCCATTTCCCAACACCAGCCACCAGAAACACCCAAGCAAGCCCTACCCTAACCAACCTGCCCAATTCGACTATCAAGCAGCAACCCCCTAGCTCTCCCCCTCTATTTAAACCTCCTAAGAAGCAGCCGCCTCCCTCATTTTTTCCCACTTCAAGTTTCTACAAAAATATCCTAAGTCCTTCATCATCTCCCTTTAGCAAATTCCCCTCGGCTAGGCAAGCAACATCTGGCAACGACAAACAACGGATTCAGGCTGAGAGCAGACCCTTTTCTCTGTGGCTGAAGGAGACTTTCTAGAAGAGTACCTGGTCGGAGACCGAGAACCAGCAGTAGCATCCCAGCAAACCGGAGAGCCTTGCCAAGTCTGAGCAGACCCGAGCCGAGAACCACCCAAACTCGAGCTTATCTTCCTTTACCTATTTCCTGAAGATAGGTAACCAGCTTAAGCCCGAGTTTTCCCTTGTTTTAACAGTGTTCAATGAGTTCTAATTTCAATTATGTTGGTGTTATATACTGAAAGTTTGCCTTTGGATGATATTTACACTTAATATTTATTGAATGTGAATCATGTGTGATCAAACAAGTTTTATGTTCTGTTATTTTGCACTTAGATAAAATGGTTCATTAGCGGGTAAACAGAAGATCATTTTATCAGTCACTTGGGAAACAAGAATTGTTGGTTCACAACCTAGATGGAAAAAAAAAACCATCGGAACGGTTGTAGTGTCGAAAAGATGGGACGAAAAATTTTTCAACCTCTACCGTTTTGCTCTTCTGAGGAGCAGCTTTGCAGGGAGAAATTTAATCATAAGCTATAAAAATTATTTAATCTTTCAACCTCGTACTCATCAAAGATTTGAAGAGGTTGAAGTTTTTATCACAAGGGAGAGGCTGAAGTCGCATAGTGAGTAGACCACAGTGAAACACAATCTGCTTGCTGCGGAGAAAGGTTTTGGAGGCAACACTATTTTTATTCCCTTTGGATATGCGGACATCAAACTCGGGGTTCCATTCAGGGTTTTGGGTTTTGAATAGAAGGGTATCGTGCCATGAGGTCGAGGCCTAAGGGAATGGAGTGTCAGGTCGAACATAAAAGAATTTTCGCTTCTATTTAGGAATGTTGGAAGGGATATTAGACAAATATTTAGCCTCATTGTGGCTTTGGAGGTAGAGTCCCCCTTTTGGTTCTTTGCTATATATGAGTAAAAAAATCGAGGTCGATTCAACATAAACTAATGAAAGAAAGAATAACAAAGGTGGTTAGGTGGTGGATCGAGTTAGGGGAAACTGATTTAGTGGCAAGGCCGAATATCCCACATAGGTCGAGGAGTGCAGGACAAATGAAAAGTCAGAGACCCAGGTTGATGTGACTCTGAAAGATGGTATAGAAACCCTCAGGGGGATGGTCGTAGGTATCTGAATGACCAGGGCTCTCAAATATCCAACCTACGGGGTGGCCGACTGTTAGATAAAACCCAACACTGACAACATCGATGTACTCAGAGATCCATTTGATACCACCAAGACGAGTATGGGTAGGATCGACCTGCGGGGGAGAAGCAGGTGGAGAAGGCTGACGATTAGAAGAAGGGCCAACTTGAGGAGTAGGCGTTGGGGTCGAGAATGGTGGTTCGAAAGAGACGGGCTCAAGCTGAAGGATCTCGTCCTCCTCAACTGGCTCATCAACCAGATAAAGAGGTCGACGAGGGCGTTGGACAGAAGGAGAAGTTCGGTGGGATGAGACTGCCGGGGTAGGCGAGGTTGGTGGAGCCTGAGGGCGAAGGATGAAAATGAGAACGTCTTGGAAAATTTTTTGAATGGATGGGATTGGAGAAGGTGTAAACGTAGGTCGAGAGGTGGAGGCAAAAACAAAATGCAAATCATAATTTGGAACATGCAAAATCAAAAGGTAGAATACTTACTCATTTGTCGAAAGTTGAGTAAATTTGCCGGGAAAGTTGCAGAAAGCCGGTGAATTATTTCGGACAGTGAACTCGGGAAGTTCGAAGGCAAAGAGTGGAGATTTATTTCAAGAATTTACAAAGGTGGAAAATCAAAAAATTTCGGTTTCAAGGCCATTTATAGGTGAAGGGAAAAGAGGTAGATCGATACCAACCGTTGAGAGGCGACATATGTCAGCGGTCGTGGTTCATCGGGCAAGGTGAAAGGTCGACAGAAGTTGAGTCGTTGGATGGAGGTTAGGATCAAAAGTGGAGATCTGAGGAGGCGAAGGTAAAGGGACAGACAATTAAGAGTCGTTGGATTGAAGCGAGCATTAATGGTTAGGATTTATGAAGTCAGTTGAAGGGACAGAGGGATGCAGACCGTTGGATTAAAGATGGAATGAACGAACGTAGTTAATGTGGCATTTAATGGGTGCAGGGAATGAGACAGCTCGATTCACGAAATAATGATGTCAGCTTGGCATTCCAGATTGATGGATCGGACAGATTGGTAGAGATTCAAAATTCAAAACAAAGACCAAGATGGAGACCGAAAAATACAGAAAGAACAACTTGCTTGTTGAAGTGATATAGTACAACCAAATTGAAGGATTTGAGGATGGACAGGTCGAAAAAACATAAATATGGAAATGCCAAAATCAAGGACAATCCTACTATTAGATTTAGTTATTCCAACTCGACCAGAGTGGGGAAGACCAGATGATATGGGATACCAGACCCTGGTAGAACAAACCCAATGAACCGCCCAACCAAGCCAAGTGAACCGACTGGTCGAACAAAGCAGCAAAGAGGTTGTTAGTGGTCGAACACCACTAATGTAGGACAAAAAATCTTTCGATAAAGATAACATAAAGGGTATAGGGAGACAATGACAGTTCGAGCTAGGGCCCTCAATTGGCCTGTTGGAAACTCGGCATGAAGGTATGACTGGTCGTATGATCGACCATAAAGGACATGGTCTCAGAACATGCAACGTTCTACCTCAGCAAACCTCGAGTTGGTCGCACCATTAAGTAGTCTAATAGAAAAGACCAAGAGATAAGAAGCAATCTTGAGGGGTTAAGAGCCACACGTAGATAAGGCCACATGGCTTAACATAATTAGGCAGATCGGGCAACTTGGGCTGTACTATTGGGCAGTTAGCACAGTTTGGTCAGCCCATCCCGGTAGTGTTGGGCAACAAGGTATCACCTCTCTATGTAAGGTAGTGAGGTATGCCGATTATCACATTACATTCTCTTATTATTTCAAACACTATTTTCTGCACTTCATCTTCTACAAGTGCTTATCTAAGCATCGGGGGACTCTTCACCAGAAAACTCATCCGGTGTGAGAGTTTTTGTAGGTTCACAGACGATCTACCGGCGAGGAAGCTCAAGTTTAGGCCGTTTCCATCCGGTTCGGGTCTTTTGCGTACTAGGGTTGAAGAAGGAATCTCCACATGCAACAGAAAAAAATTAGTAACAGTTTAAGATTATATAAAAACTAGCAAAAAAATAAAAAATAAAAAAAAATAAAGAAGATTGCCTAGGTCAGTAATGGAGGGATCTTGCACGAAGACAACCCGTAGTGAAGAAGGAGCTGAGGGTTGTCGGTGAGTTTTACAGTGTTCAACGGGAATTAATTCCTATCACGGATCAACTCGTCACAGTGTATGGAAGGTTTGGGACTTTTAAGCTAGCCGGGAAACTCGTTAAGCCATTCAGGCGAGAAGTCAAAGGTGTTTGGTAGAGGTTGGATGAAGAAGTATTTGATCTTCCAGGCTGAGACGTTTAAGAGGAGGTCGAGAAAAAAATTGGCTTTATTCTGGCAGAAATGTAGTATGAGCCTTTCTTGGGTTTTAGTAAACGATAGAAAAAAAAGGTCGATGTCTAGTTTGTGGAGGTGATATCTACTAAGGATTGTAAACCCGACCATGATACAAATTGATTTGGGGATAAAATGGTTCAATGGGAGAATATGAGGCCGACTTGGATTTGGTCATGAAAGAAAGGATAATAGCCCGGAGGGGTGGGGGGAGGGGGTTGTTGGTTGAAGGGTTCACCAATCTTAGGAGCCTGGAAGTCATAAGATCGGTGGAGTTCACATTCATATAGAAGGCAGGTTATTTGGTCATTGGTCAAAGAACTGGGCTTCACAAGTTTCACCAAGTCTAGTATGACCCTAACTTTTTTACCCTTGACCACAATTACGTTGTCCTTTTGCTTACGAGAAAGCAAGATTGCTAAGGTAGGAGTTGTTCGTTTTCCAATGTAGAGTCGATAGGGGCTATGGAGAGGTTTCTAGGTGGCTTATCAAGCGAATAAGAGGAGGTCAATGAATTGGCGCAACCGAGATTTGACATAGTGGCCTTAATGTTGATAAAAAGGAAGAATAGAAGGGTGGACGAATTCCAGAAACCCAAAAGATTTGAAAGAGAGAAGAAGAAAATGAATACATAAGATGGTCGACATGCCCATAAGTTTTAGGTTGGGTGAGTAAGGAGGTGGCCGAAATCTCAGTTAAAGGTCGACGTAAGTTGCTGTAGTTGTTGGAGCATTTTTCGTAGAGAGAGCTTTGTGAATATAGAGAGTAAAAAAGTTGCAAATGAAAGCATAAAGGCGTTTTTATAGCAGGAATGGTGAGGCACGATCTCTGAGGTTGGAAGTGAGCCATTGAATCATCTGCAGCCTCAGTGGTATAGATTGACCAAGGGAGGTGGACGTGACAGACGTTGAAATATCGGTGTCTTGGTGAACACTGATCTGGTAGAAGATTAACGATCCAGAGTAACAGATGCGTCTTAGGGTTTGAAGTGTTTCTGATGAACGCGATTCCCCAGGTCGGCTAATAAATGGCATTTAAGGCCGAAAAGACATATTGGAAGCAAAAACAACGCATAACTCTTGCACAAGGCCGAGCTCGTTCAAGAATGTGGAGCCTAGATGGTATACTACTTAAAATAGATTGGTGATCCGACCTGAGTGGTTAGCTCGGGTGTGGCCAGTTCAAGGTAGCTGAAGCTCGGTGACATTGCTTGACCTCGTCAGGGAGCTAGCTTCGGTAGATCGGGGTGCGAATCGACCTGACTAAAGGATTGAGGGTTGGGCTACTCTTGGATCTAGGACCGATGATGGAATGTTACGACTTGGAGGTTGTGAGAGCAAAGGTCGTGGTTTCGACCTGACAACAATTACTGCAGAGGGGTCACGAGGTTGTGGCAACGATCTAAGGACGTAAGAGTCGTATCACAGAAGGAAATAGAATCATGGTAAGGATGAAAAGAGTACCATGTTAAGGAGTCCAAGATCCTAAAAATGCACTATGCTAGGAAAAAGATACGACAAGATCTCCTTCATATTAAGGAGTCTACTTGAGCAAGAATATAACTCGAATATAAAAAAGGGTTACAGATTCTATTTTATGTAACATATTATTCGCCTTTTGCATACAATTATCGATATACTCACGAGCGAGAGCTGACTTGAGCGTCGGGGGCTTTCCGATTTGCAGGTCATCGTGGCTCAAGAAGACGCACCATTCATGGCAGTGCCAATTTAATCCTGTTTGGGAGCAATTTACATATAAAATACAATTTTCAAATAAAAAGGTAACAATACATTAATCTATAAAATATACTATTAATCAATTTACATTTTTATAATTATTAATCATTCACTAATCATATTATAACTAATTATTATTTTCTATGGCCCATCATTTTAATGTAAAAATCATTAGTTCTCCCACATTCTATCCGATCTCGCATCTCTACACCTCTAAAATTTAAAAGAAAATAAATTTTTGCACCAAATATTATGTTTTTCTAAATAGAATAATTGAAATGAAAAGAAAAGCTAACATAGACTAAGTGAAAAGGAAATAAAAAGCGTTGGTGTAGCTCACCATAGACACAGAAATGAGAAAAAATAAAATAATGGTATGTTTGTTTATAAAAATAGTGCGTAATCTGTACGATCTACAAATAAACAATATTAAATAATAATTATAAATATGTTTCTAGTTCGAGTCACTCAACTGAGTAAGTGGGGAATCATTTAAAAGAGAAAGAAAAAAATAATTATGAATTAAAGATGAAGTAAATAATATTAATTAATAATTATAAATTAAAGATATAGATAAATAATATTAAATAATAATTATAAATTAAAGATGTAGGATTAACATATTATAAATAATATAAAATTATTTTGTATAAAAGAACATAAATAATATATGTTTAAAATATTAAAAACACTTAAAATATTATATAACATATGTAAAAATATCTAAAATTTTCTATATTATTATTGAAAGATGTTAAGCCATATAATTCACTATTTATCTATATAATTTTAACTAATCATCACTCCTACTTTTACGTAAAATCAACTTTATTAACTATTTTATTTTAATATAAATTTGAATCTCACTAACACCTACAATATCATTTACTCTAATTAATAAAAAATAATCATTTTGAAATATCCAAGCACACCCTAAAATTGAGCATCTTCATATTTCATTTTCCTTCATGCAAAGAGAGTCGCACTAAAACCCCTCACTCTCTCCTATTCTCTCTCTCTCTCTCTAACATAAAACTTGAAATTAAGAAAATTGAGGCGAACCTACTGAAAGGACCAATTTGTTTCTCGGTTTGGAACTTCCTTTTGGGTGCAGGCCTTGAATTTGCACCCGCATTTCTGGGTTTCTCTCACATCTAATCGTCTGCGGAGTCGGGTAAATTTTTTATGTGCGTTTCTTTATGTGCATGTACAAGAGATTGGTTGTGATGTTTAAGCTTGTGGGGTCGTCTAAGTTGTTTCTAGGTCAATTCTCGTACTGGTTCTGGGTTTATGGAGGTCTGTTCTTCTGATTTCTTTTAATTTTCTTTACTCTCCTTTTTCTCCATTTTGTTTTTTGCTTAACGCGTCTGTTTTTGAGTTTGTTCAGAAGAGGGGACTTTCTTTGGGGTTTTTTTTGAGTGCAGATGTATTCTGTTTATTTGCATGTTATTGATTTGAACCAAGAAATGTTTACACTGTGGTCAATTCACAAGCCCACCTATTCTGGTTGAATGTTGGAAAATATTTTTGAGAACTTCATCTGTAGCTGATATAATGGCATGATTCAACTCTTGTGTATGTTCGTGAAATGCCATACATTATTTCCAATTTCTACTTAATGGTCTGGCTCTTGTGAGGTCTCATGGTATTAGGGTTGCATTTTGTTTTTGTTTCATTGCCTTTTTCTTTGCACGTCTCTCGTTTTCTTTCTTTTGTTAATTTTTTTTTTCAATTTCATAGTCAATTATCTGATACAGTGACTTTACGATTTTTGACTAGTGTAGTATTGGAATTTTTTTGTTGACGAATCATTAGAAAGATTGATTTTGCTCTTTGATATGGGTTATTTTCTCAGTTCTACTCATTTTCATATTCCGTTTGTGTCTTGAGTGAGGCTTGTGTTGCATTTAATTTGAACTTTATCCGATTTTGGCAACATGTGGGTTGAGTTTATTGTGGTTGAACGTTTCTTTTTTCTTAATGCTGCTATCACAATGAAGAAATAATAGTGGTTGATTCCGTATGATTCTCCTCAGTTCCTGAAGAATGTTGGTGGATGCACTAAATCATGCGTTGAACTTAAGTTTTTTTTTTTTTTTTTTNTTAATTAATTTGAGAATATACACTGCTATGGGGTAGCTGCCTTTGAAACCCTATTATCAAGTCACTTTTTATTAGAAACATCTTGATTTGTTTTTTGAGTGTTGGTGTTCTCATCTGCCAGAGGATTGTTGCATTGGATTCCCATTTAACATTGAGAAAGTAAATTTATAGCTTCCCCTACGTGCATAGGCAGGACCGACATTTTGTGATTGTTTCTTGGTATTTGTTTGCTTTATGAATTCCTGTTGGTATCTGGTTTTGTCCAAAGTATTATCTGTTTCCTGCTTTTCATTTTTGAGTTGAAGAATGTAAACCTTGGAGTTTTCTTTCCTTTGTTGTAGGTTCTGGACATTGGAGGGAGCAAATTTTTTTTATTGGACATGCTAAGGTATCATTTTCCTGAAGTGTTTCTTATTTGTATGTTATTGGTGCCGTCCTTGTTCTTGTTCTTGCTTATATTTTGGTATTATTTTATAGTTCTAGTTGATTGCAGCCATGCAGAGAGACTACATACAGTGGAGTTGTATTTGTCAGAATAAATAAATAATTTAGTGCTGAAAGTTTCGAGACATTGATTTTCTGACGTTTCAAAATAACATTTCCATGATTTTGCTTGTTGGTATAATTTATATAGTTTCTTGTGCAAAATTATATAATGAATTTGATGGTAGTTCTATTTGATTGTTGTATGATCTTGTACACTTGAGCTGCTGTTGTTGTTGTCTTCCCATTCCTTTCTTTTGATTTTTTCCACCATATAAAACTTTGATAATGCGCATGAATTGGTTAGATGTTCCGTCTTTTGTATGGGAATGTAATTGAGTCTATGCTCTATAACTGAACATTTTAGTTTGATGTATCATGATTTGTGACCAAGGGTGGTGTACCAATCATTTTAGTGCTTAAAGTGGTGTCCGAATGTTTAAGTTTTACAACTTGCGCATTGTGGATAATTAAATCTTACCAAAGTAACCCGCACACTGCATTCTCGACCAGGGAGTCCTGCCTTTCCCAAATGAACATTAGTTTATATCAATTTGCGCTAACTCTCGGATTTGTTTTCCAGAATCCAGATGAGCTTTTTCGCCATTTAAGAAAGCAGGCCTATTCACATCTATTCCCTCCCTGTACTTTCATCTAGCAGACACTGGTCTCATAATGTTTTTGATTGTTATTCTGCCTGGCATGATTATTGCATTTTATTAAAAAAAATTAACAATGTTGAGCCCAGTTGAATTTAACCACATGATATAATTGTTCTTTCTGTTATTTCCTAGTGGTTTTCTTATATGCTGCTTTTATGGCGTTCTTTAAATTTTGTATTACATGAAAATAAGATGGTTCCCTTATGAGCAAAACATACTTTTATCTGATACTTGTGATGACAGTTCCCTAACTGAAACTGATGAGAGTTCCCAAACTGAAACAAAAGCTCGTTTTCCAATATTACACCTACTTTCTTCTTTTGGCATAATGTCTTTATTTTTTTTTATTTTTTTTTTCTACTTGTAATTTTCCTTCACGTTGTGGTCTCAGCTAGTGTTGGACAGGTAAGTTATATAACGATGGATATACTGATTAATGCTTGACTGTGTAAGAGCTTTCTAATGCATCATTGTTTGCTTCAAGGTTGATGCTTTGATGTGGAATTTTGTGTTAACAGTTATGAACCTTGAACTTTCTGATGTTGAGACATGTTTGTATTTATCTCATTGTAAAGTGCATTTCATCTTGTATTCAGGTGTTGAAGAAAAAAAATGGAAAGTTCTTCATCATTTACAGCCCTTGAGGCCGAAATAAAAGGAATATCATTTAGTTTGGCAACTCGTCAAGAAATTGTAAGTAGATAGTTAAGTTGATTCTCGGCTGTATCTGCAAAAAATTCAGTATGCGATTCAGTTGCAGAAAAATGTTTCTTATATATTTATTTACTTTTTGGAACCTTCAACAATCTGATTACTTGCTATAATGGGTAAAAGCATTTTCTTTGAATTGAGCCTGAGATTTTCTCTTTCTGTTTGACACGTGCGTCAAGAATTCAGTACTTCTTCCATATTTACAGCTGATAACTGATTCAATGAATTTTGTTCAATACATAAGAAATCAGTAAAAGAGATCTTCAAGTAGGAATATGCATTATTTACAGTTTATCATTCTAAGTTTTGCTGTTTCTGCATTTGTTGGATGTTTGATCCCTATGCATCTCTTGTTTAGTGTAAAGCATCAGGTAGCCAGTGCCCTATCAGCCATGCTACTCAACTCTTTTCAAATCCTTTTCTTGGCCTGCCACTTGAAACTGGCAAATGTGAGACCTGTGGTACCGGTGAGGCCGGGCAATGCGAAGGTCTGCTAATCGATTTATCAATTTGTAGCTTGGGGATGGATGAGAGAGTAATATTTTGCCATTATTAATACACTGCCCTCTTTCTTGCTAATTTGTCAGGCCACTTCGGATACATTGAACTACCAACTCCCATATACCATCCGGATCATGTCAGTGAGCTGAAAAGAATGTTGAGCTTTTTGTGCCTCAAGTGCTTGAAATTGAAGTTTAAGATTAGGAAGGTATGTATCACATGACACTGTCCTCTAAAGTTGTCTTAGCCTACCCACTTAATCCCTGTCAGTTCTTCTTTTTCCCATTCTCTTTTT